GGTGTGTGTGCGGGTGTGTGTGCGGGTGTGTGTGCGGGTGTGTGTGCCAACACGTGCAAGTCAGGAGCAGCTCTCTCCTCTACGACGTGGCTCCTGGGTAACGAGCGCAGCCGTAGGGCGACCCCCACAAGTCACACACCCCGAACTGTCTGCCTGCCACACCTTCCGTTACTCTCCAACTATTGCTCACAGTACTTTAAAATCCAGGAGGCAAAGATTTATCATTGCACTTAACTTTTAAAATGATATTTAGGCATGTGTGGGCATGTGTGCTATGACACATGTGTGAGCGTCAGAGGACAACCTGAGGGAGTCATTTCTTCTTCCATGAAGGCCCTGAGGACTGAACTCAGGTCTGCAGGCTTGTTGATCAGCACTCTGCCCATCATTTGGAGATTTTTTGTTTTGTTTTGTTTTCATTTTTTGTTTTTCAAGACAGGGTTTCTCTGTGTAACAGTTCTGGCTGTCCTGGAACTCTCTGTAGACCAGGCTGGCCTCCAATTCAAGATCTACCTACCTCTGCCTCTGAGTGCTGGGATTAAAGGTGTGCGTCACCACTGTCCGGCTCTATTTGGAGATTTTATTCCGCTTACAGACATACCACTGGGTGAAACTGAAGACGACAGGGTTTTGGGTTTCTTTTCCCCAAATGGGAGGTGGGGGAGAAAACAAAACAAAAACCTCCACCGCAAGCCTAGTACTATGGAACTGCAAGGCCATGGGAAACTGCCCATGATACAAAGTTCTGTGGTAACATTAGCACAGCCTGGCGTTAACACGAACAGGACACATGTATGAAAAACTGAAAGTGGGAAAAAACCCCACTAACGTAAGCTATTGTTTTAGTAAGGATTACAGTCACTATCATTTTTCACTTTGTCCTTTTCAATGTACCCTAAGATTCTCAAGCAGGAAATACAATGGCTTCATGATCAAAGGACACAAAGAACCAGGCAGCTTTCCAGTCCATTACACAAGTCTGTGGCTCTGTAGGCTGATCCAAAGCACACACTAGGTGCCATTTGGACAGAGTGCCTCTAGTGAATATCTCTAACTCAAAGGGAATGCTGTGCCCTGCTGATTAGGGGACATCTGGCAGTGCCAGGAGATACTTTTAATGCAATGATCAGGGGGAAGCAGCTGCTTCTGATGTACTAGGCAGTGGATGAGCCCTCCAGACAAAGAGAAACCCCCTGCCCCCACCACCCAAGCTGTAGCCAGCACCGAGGCTGGGAAAGAGCTCTAGTTGTGTCCAGTAACACGGGCCTTAAGGTCACTTCAGATTCTCTTGAAGGGCAGTGTGGTGGGGAAGGGAAACCCTGGTCAGGACACATCACTGAACAACTCAGGGGCTCTGAAGGACCCAAACTGGCTCACGGGCAACCAGCTGCTCTCACTCAGACACAAGGCCCACACCGTAGGGCGATGACTGAGCTACTACACAGCACAGACCACAACCTTAGGCAGCTGCCCTTCCTGCTGCCAACCCAGCAGGAGCCTCATGGTGTGCTGGGGCCACCTTGTGGCACAGCTGGCACACTACATTAAATTCTATTCACTTCAACCAGGCAACTAGAAAATCTCACTCTTTCACAAAATGAGAAATGAGGAAATAGTCAGACAAAGTGAGGAGAAAGGCATGGAGGCCACTGCTCATGTCCCCAGACCACTTCTATGCTGTTCAACACAAAGTGCACACAAGCAGATATGTTCCTGATATGCACAGGCGGGCCACACACCATACCAATGATAACACTTGTTCAATCCAGCTGGGAAGCCCTACAGCTTCTGAGTCTCCTGCTTCTACCTCCTGAGCGAGGGGTCAGAGATGCCCAAAACCAAGCCGAGTTTTTGTGCAGTGCTGGGATGGAAACCAGGTAAGCACTAACCTGTGGAGGGCCGGACCACATTCTCCATTGCTTCTAGGAACAAAGGTAGAGATTGACCTCGGTGACCCCAAGGTGTGGCGGTACACGCCTTTAGTCCTGATGCCTGGGCGGCAGAGGCAGATTGACCTCTGTGACCTCAAGGCGTGGTAGTATACGCCTTTGGTCCCAATGCCTGGGAGGCAGAGACAAGCAGATCTCTGTGAGTTCAAGGTGATGTAGCACACGCCTTTAATCCCAGCGCACGTGCTTTGTAACTCTCTACCGCTGCGTCCCTGCCTACTCCCGAGGCATCATCTGGGATAATGGGCAGTGGACCGATCCAAGAGTGACACGTCAGAAGCGAGGACTGTTTCCTTTATAAGGGTTGGGTTCCATCTTATCTGGGTCTCCGCCATGTTGGCTGATGCCCGCTCTCCCAAGGGGCATTAAAGCTTTACTGCAGAAGTATCCTATGTGTACCGCGTGGCTCTTGCTGGCGAGACGGTAGCGCGGGACATCTGGTGCCGAAACCCGGGAAAAAGAAGAACTTTGCACCGCCGGAGACCCCTTGGACACAAGGAGGATTCAGAACTGCAGGAATGCGTGCTCAGAGAGGTACGTTCTAAAGTACAGAGAGCATATCAGAAACTGAGCAGCAATGTGGGAGGTTGTGCGCGCACCCAGATAAGTTAAAAAAGGACCCTCCGGTAAAGAATGGGGGAGACAGAAAAAAAAAAAGTTAAAAAGGACCTCCCGGTGATTTTGGGAGAGTGGAGATGGGGGAGAAGGCTGATTTACAGGGTCGAAGGCTTTGTGTTGTGTTGTTCGTGTTGTTTTTTGTGTACTGGACAGGAGAGGGATATTTGAATTTGGGAGCTGCTAAAAAAGGTAGTTTAGATTTAAGACATGGGCTTAAGAGTGTGATGTTTTGGGAGAGAGGTTCTGTTTTCGCCTCCACGGAGGATGGGAGCCTGAGTATGTGCTTGAGATCCGCGTGGTTTGAATCACCGAGACCTCCTGAAATGTTGTAGTGTATACCCCTAAGAATACAACGGCCCAATAACAGCAGGAAGCAGCCAGAGACTAACGACGCCCAAATTCCCTAAAAGATTAAATGAGGTCCTTGCAGAGCAGCAAGCCTGCTTCTCTGAGTTCCGCTTTGCTCCGTACACCGGTTTGGGCTCGGAATGGGTGCAGCTGGGGCTGGAGGGCGGCTGGAGCGGAGCTTTGCTCTATGGCTATGGTGGAGAGCACGTTGCGCAGGCTCAGTTGGTGCCTGGCCTGGAGGGTATCACAGCTGTACCGAGAATGAGAGCGGTGCCACAGACAGCCGGGCCAAAAGGCTTACAATGTACCTAAAACTGTGAGGGTCTCTGAGGGTAAAATGGCTCTGGTTCCATTTGGCTATGCTAAACGATGCTGACTTCAGGCAGGGCTGGTCGTATTTATCATAATAAAAGCGCAATTAAGGTTTAAATACAGTAAACAGGCAATACCGTATTACATCTACATAGTATGACTTAAGTTTTTAAGAACTGCTTAGCATTTTAAGAACTCAAGTCCTCCTGAAAGATTGCTGTGTATATGCTTGGCTTGTCTGGTGTTTCAGGATCCGCAGGGAGATGGATGCGAAGGGCCCTTGGATTTTGGGGTGATTGGGTCGTTGGCTGGATCTGTGAGAGTTTACAGCCGCTTTTGCTGTGGCACAGGTGTTGAGAGTTGGCTAGTAGGAAAGCGGCCCTGTTCGCCGCCTCTCCCATCGGCCCCTTGAGCCTCAGCGGCTCTGGCGCGGACCTTGAGATGTTGCCGCCTGTGCCGCCACGGTCTGAGTGTCGGCTCCCGCCACACTCCCCCACCAACACAGCCGCCGTGGAGGACTAGGCTAGCCCCACGGGAAAGGCTGGGGCACCTGGGGGTGGAGCCGCCACTTCCTGGCCTGGGACAGGCGGAGCCGCACAGCGGGACACGGGGAGCCGCGCAGCGAGCAGGTCCAGGGCCGCACACAGCCCTTGGATGGCGGGCGGGCTCTGGAACCCAAGGCCACCGTACTGGCAAGGAGTACGGGAGCCAATAAATCTTAAACCTAATATCAACAAACAGGGCCTGGGTTTTTCCTAGGCGCCACTGGGACAGCACGGCCTATATCATAAAAAACAAAGACCCTCAATCAGTTATCTACCACAGTGGCTACAGCCCTGGATCAACAGGCTACCATAGATACATCTATTAGAGGTAGAATAAAAAACAGATGGATAGCTTATGGCAGCTTGCCCAATTGGGCTGTAAATGGAAAACTCCAGCCTTATATGTGACCAATGTACTATATGAGAACTTTATAAAAATGGCTAACTTGTCCCGAGAATTGTCTTTGTATCTTGCAGGAAAATTTTAATGATTTGCTGTCCTCCTTGAGATGGTCCATCATGACAATCAACTCCACGCGAGTGGACATAAGCTTGGTCGAAGAATTCCAGTCCTGGATCGTGTCCTTCATCTCCTACTTCAAGGAATGGGTGGGGATGAAAATGTTTTGGAACGGTCCTGCTATGGATTAGTGTTTCTCCTCTGGATGGTCTGATGACTCAAATCCCAAAATCGTAGGGACAAAATGGTTATTGCACAAGCGTTGGCTGCCCTGAAACAGGGGCCTCTACTGATGTGTAGTTATTTATGTTAAAGCAATAAGGTTTAAGCCAACCAGCTCCTGCACCCCTAGGACTGTGGTCCATTACACAGGGTGGAATGCTTGGCTTAGCTAGCCCTGAAGGTTGTCGAGCTGAAGAGCATCGCACAGAGAATGGCCCTCTCTGAGAGATAAGTCGCTTTGCTTAAGGGTTTCCTGCCGTATATTCCCTTTCCCAGAAAATTGGCAGAGGGCAGGCCGGATAGGTTCCAGGTGTCATGAGCCTAGGGACAGATTCCGTGTAAGCCCATTTTTATGTTTTCATTTTGGGAAATGCGACCTCTATCTTTACCTTCCTAGGGAATTGCCTTTCTGCAAAGAAGTAAAAAAAGGGGGATATGTGGAGGGCCGGACCACATTCTCCATTGCTTCTAGGAACAAAGGTAGAGATTGACCTCGGTGACCCCAAGGTGTGGCGGTACACGCCTTTAGTCCTGATGCCTGGGCGGCAGAGGCAGATTGACCTCTGTGACCTCAAGGCGTGGTAGTATACGCCTTTGGTCCCAATGCCTGGGAGGCAGAGACAAGCAGATCTCTGTGAGTTCAAGGTGATGTAGCACACGCCTTTAATCCCAGCGCACATGCTTTGTAACTCTCTACCGCTGCGTCCCTGCCTACTCCCGAGGCATCATCTGGGATAATGGGCAGTGGACCGATCCAAGAATGACACGTCAGAAGCGAGGACTGTTTCCTTTATAAGGGTTGGGTTCCATCTTATCTGGGTCTCCGCCATGTTGGCTGATGCCCGCTCTCCCAAGGGGCATTAAAGCTTTACTGCAGAAGTATCCTATGTGTACCACGTGACTCTTGCTGACGAGACGGTAGCACGGGACACTAACCAACTCGGTGCACCCCCAATCCAAGCATGGCTTTTTTTTTTTTTTTTGTTACAGACAAGGTCTTTCTATGTAGCTCTAGCTGGAGAGATATGCTGGCTCACCATCCCCCACTGAGGCAAAGTCTCACTATGTACCTCTGGCTGGCCCAAAATCTACCACATAGACCAGGCTGTCCTTGAACTCACAGAGGTGGGCTTGCCTTTGTCTCCTGAGTGCTCAGGCTAATGGTGTGTGCGCCACCACGTCTCACCTAAGTGCTTTAATACTGTCCTATCACCACAACCATGTCCACACTACAGAGAACCATTAACAACTTCCCACGGTCGGCCTCCAAATCTGTGCAACCACCATTGTGCTCTAAATGTGGTGCTCTGAGAACCTCACACAGCGGAGTTTCCCTCCTTTTGTCTGTGTGTATATCAGGGTCTTGCTGTAGTCCACACTGGCCTTGATGCTGTATAGGGCAAAGTTTGACAGGCAAAAACCAGCTCCTTCTGACCACTGTGTGGGGCCCGTGAATACACACACCACACACACATACACACACCAGAATAAATAAAAACAAAGTAGCATGTGCTATACAGGTCAGGCCCACTAGGTTCAAAGCAAGACCCTGACTAGCTCACACAGCAACAGCAGTAACAACAACACACCACCACTACAACAACTATAATAGCCAGACTTGTATCTCCTTGGCACTTCAGTTTTACCAAAAGGATAGACCTCAGTATGCTTGCTCTACCATGACTGCGCAGGTTTAACAGTGAGGTCCTTTATCTTAGCCACTGAACTTCAAAAAACTAACCAAGATTGGCCACTGGATGGCACTCTTGGATCAGACCTGGAGAACACAAGGAAGACTCTCTAAGAACCTCAATGCATGGGAGGGCCAGAACCTGTTTGCTAAACATAGCCAAGTTACTGACGTACTAGAGATAGAAACAAGACCATAGCCTTGAGAAATGTGATGATCTGGGGCTGAATAACTGCGGAACCGGGCAGGACAGAACCTTCCCGTTTACAGAGATGCCATTATGGCATTCGAAAGCTCAGGATACACCAGAAAATGACTTGGCTTCTCAAGAGGCAGGAAGCTCAACTGGTACAAGAAAATCAACGAAAGACCAGGCCCAGACAGACCAGGCAGCGGAAGTGAGCAACTACGTAGACTAGTGTTTTTGTCATCTTGATACAAGTCAGAGTCATCTAGGAAGAGGGAACTTCAAATGAGAAAATGCCTTAATTAAATTGGCCCACAGTCAAATCTGGAGGGTATTTTCTTGATTAACGATTGATGTGGAAGGGCGGAGCCCACTGTGGGCAGTGTCACCCCTGGGCAAGCAGTCCTGGGTTCTGTAAGAAAGCAGGCTGAGCAACCATGGAGAGCCAGCCAGGAAGAAGGGCTCCTCCACGACCCCTGCGTCAGCTCTGACGCCCACACACTGGAGTAAACCCGAGCTGCCGCTGCTCATGGTGTTCATGCAACTGTAGAAAGCAAAGCAAGACAGCACCTGGTTTAAACTATTTCCAGAGTACGAGTGGCCGAGTCCTGAAATGAACGGGAAGGCAGTCAGGCATGGTGGCACTGGCACACTCCTTTAATCCTAGCACTCAGGTGGATCTATCTATCTCTGTGAGCTGAAAGCCAGCCTGGTCTATACAATGACTTCCGGGAAAGTCAGGACTACATAGAGGCCCTGCCTAAAAAAATAACAAAACAAAAATTAAAAAAAAAATGAATGGGATGGTAAAACTGCATCATAGAAATGGAAAACATGAATCACAATCTAATGGGAGCTTTTACAACTTCCCTATTACCACGTCACTGAGACAAAATTCACAAGACAGGATCAACCACAAAAGGGAGGCATCACGGGGGAAGACAACCTGTGGGTGGACGATTAGGAACTATCCAAATGAACAGAAGAAGAAGTTGAGTTTTTTTTCCCTACCCAGTTTGACAAAAAAAAAAAAACATGCAAGCGTGAAGAAACACCTACAGCGGGGCATTCCCAGGCCCTGTTTAAGACACTAAGTAGACCGTAAAAGCAGCCACACAGGAATCTCTAGAACAGCAGCTGAAAGTCTATGAAATGCAGGGAATTAAAAAACATAAGCTGCACAAAACAGGACAGGTCTGTAATCACAGAACTTGGGAGGCAAAGGTAAGGAGGGTCAGACTGCAAGACCAGCCTGAGCTACATGAGATGCTGCTCAAGCAAAACAAAGTAACAAATAATAAACCCAAACCACAAGAGAGAGTGCTGGTAAGAAGGCTCCATTGTGAAGGCTCTTGCTGTCAAGTCGGATGACCTCAGTCTGATCCCTGGACTCACATGGTAGAAGGGGAGGAACCAGGAGTCTCAGTTCAGAATCAGCCTTGGCTACATGGGAGACTGGGCCAGGCTGGCTACATGAACCCTGTGTCAAAAACTAACGAATGAGGACTAGGCGAAGGGTCAGGCAGTACAAGTGCCTGCCTTGCTAGTATGAGGACCCGAGTCTGGACCCAGCACCAATGGAAAGGGTAGGCATGGCAGACTGTGTTTGAAATCCCAGCTCTAGGGAGAAAGAGAAAGGACGATCCCTGGGCTTGTCAGGCAGCCAGCCCAGTGAAATCAGTGAACTCCAGCTTTAGTGAGACTGTGTCACAACAATTCAGGTGAAGAGCAACTGAAGAGGAGCCTGACATTGGTCTCTGGCTTCCATGTGCACACATGTACAAACATAGATGTGTGTGTGTGTGTGTGTGTGTGTGTGTGTGTGTACACATAACTACAAAACAAAAGGCTTCCAAATGCTGAGACAGTCCTTCAATCTTTCCTCCTGGGGAAAAAAAAATGAGCAAGATGGAGAACCACTGGAAGACAGCTGGTGGACAGCTGGAGGTACCTGAGGAGCAAGGCAGTGTGAGGACAGGGACAGAGCGGGGTGACCCTGGCAACCAGGAACCCAGTGAGTTGCCCCAGCATCCTACTGTGAGCTTTCCTTTTGCTTAAGTCAGTCTAGCTTTCTTTCTTTCTTTTAGGTTTTTGAGACAGGGTCTTTCTACAGAGCCCTGGCTGTCTTGGAATTCATTAAGCAGACCAGGCTGGCCTCGAACTCATAAAGATCTGCCTGCCTCTGGCTCCTGAGTGCTGGGATTAAAGGGGTGTGCCACTATGCCTGGCTTAGTCATGTGGCTTTCTGACATCACACACACAGCTATCCACGAGTCTTCACAGTTTAGCGGCCACTGCCATCAGCGATGGTGACGGGCACTGAGGGAAATGTGGACACAGCTCACCTTCCTTCTGCTTCTTCTGCTCACGCTTCATCTTCTTTGCCATTAACTTCTTCTCTTTTAACTTCTGGCTACACATGGAAGACACACATGGCGGTTACTTTGGTGGGCTTTGGAAAGGCCTGTGCTGAAGCTATCTCTACAGCAGTGCAAATGTCAGTCACACTGGAGACGGCTCGGCAGCTAGGACTGGAGCTCAGCTTCCAGCATCCGTGTCAGGCAACTCACGACTGCCCACAACTCCAGCTTCTCTTCCGGCCCATGAGCACTCGTGTTTACATGCACAAACCCACACAGACACACGTGCCCTTTAAAAAAACCTGATTCTGCTAGCCTGTCACTGTCAATTGTTTTCACTGAAGTAAGTCGAGATCAAACTCTGAGGAGTAGGCTGACTGTGGTGGCTTGTATCTGTAGTCCTAGAATTTTGGTGGGGCCAAGCAGAAAAACCAAAAGTTCAAGGCTGGCCTGGGGTACATAGTGAAACCGTCTCAAAAACAAACAAACAAAAAAACTGACTGCCTCCCCCCAAAAAAAAGTCACATGGGAAGTTTGATTAAAAGAGTCTCAAAAATACAATGTTCAAATGTAGAAAGGAAACTGAGGCAGGGGATCAGTGTTGAAGCCAGCCTAAGCTACACAGCAAGACTATCTCAAAAGGCAAACAAAATGCAGAAATGTTGGGAGACATGGAAACCCACATAGTCACCAAAGTTCCGACTGTATCTTTGGGAGATCTGTAACAGGCTGAAGGACCATGAGGGACGTGTGGTTCCCAAGGTCTTGTAAGAAACCATTCCTCTTAGTACTGCTATCTCAGGGCTGGCCTGCCCAGAACCCCTGGAGGTTACACAAGTCAACTTTCTGTTACCTGTTTTGAGGGTTTCTCTCTCTCTCTCTCTCTCTCTCTCT